AACGAAATGGAAGTGTTGATGTAATTGCACATGATGTACATTTTATTCAGTCAGCACCAGTGACATGCCTAGCTCAGTCCAGATTGGTATTCTCGGAAGCGAACATCTGTGCTTTTTCACGGTCCAGCAACCACAACCGATGTGAGCAACGGTTAAAAATAACAACAACTGTACATTGGGCTAGTTGTTGAGATTCCAATGTACAGTGTAACAAGAATACGCCTACTTGTGCAACATATGAAAAGGTGGTTGTTCGGATGTGTCTAACAGTTGAGTTTTTTTTTATTTTAGCTGTTTTGACCGGTTCTGGCTCTTTGACCAGCGCTCCACAGCAGCTCACACAGAGTGCATAGAAATGCATTGAACAGTATTGCGCGTTTTAGGAACACATACATTTTTTGACATAGCTCTGCCCAAGGAATAGTTGGGTTAATCACTGGAGTAACTAATTAACACGTGTTTAGAAACAAAATAGTGATTATAAATAAATTATTGATATAATATGTTACAATTTAATTTTCTTTGTATGCCGCTATTCTGTCAATATGTTATCACATAAAGAGATATTGTCCATTAAATACACCATAATGAACTTTAAAATATTCTACTTACGTTTTCTTAGCTTGATTTCCAACATCACTAATCAATTCCTGCAATTCTGGTGTCTCTTCTGCTGCAGCTTCCATGTTGCATTATTCCGTGAAAACACACTGCCAGTGTATCGCTATACTGTAATAGCCGATTTGATAAAATATGAAACAACGCCTTTATGATCTTAAAATAGAAAACCAATCTGCATGTACGTTGGATGCTCGTACATTGAGAAAGTGAGTCTATATGACGATATAATATATTACTGGTACAGAGTATTGATATATTGCCAGATCAACTAATCAGCTTAATAAATGGAGATTAGTAAATGTATACTGAAAATAAATGTATACTTAAAATCTCGTACCGCTCAATATATCTGTATATGAGTTCAAATGTATTTAACATATTTGCCGTGTACTAATAACGTCAATTAATATATATATATATATATATACTTAATAATATTAATATATATATATAAATTAATACTTATATTCATCGCCTATTCATATTTTAATGTTTATTCTACATAGTGATGCGCATGAACGAGCACCGTTGATACATGCAATGCGTACACACATAAGCCTAACCAGTATATTGTTAAGAGATATTCTAAATTTATGTTTATATTTATTAACATGGATATATACAACCAGGAATCAAAATTACGGTATGACTAAGATGAAATGATTTTGTTGATGATTATAATAATTTTTATTCGTCATATGTTATATTTTCAATTATATTTACCATTAATAATTTTATTCATATTATCGAAACATTGCTTTTATGACAAATGAACAAATTATAACTCTGACTTACTAAGTATTCATTTAAGAAGGTAAATACTAACCACCGAATTACTAACTATCTCCCTGAGAAGGTGAGTACTACCCACTAAATTACTAAGTATCTATTTCAGAAAGTAAATACTATCCACTAAATTATTAAGTATCCATCTGAGAAAGTAAATACTATCCACTGAATTACTAAGTATCAATTTGAGAAGGTAAATACTACCCACTGTATTATTAAGTATCTCTTTGAGAAGGTAAGTGGATCATGAATGTTTTTATCATATTTTATTTAC